AAAGGCAACCAACAAAGTGATACATTTCTGACAACAAAATGAAGTCCTACTACAACAAAGGAGGCTGATCTCCATCTGTGCCAAAACAGAAAAGGCAACCAGAACAAAATATCAAATGCAAACAGACTTAACATTCTGCAGTTAACACTTAACAGTTTGCTAATTTACAGAACAAATTAGCAGTCCAAAACTGAACATCCAAAGACCGAAATACAGCTAAAATGCAGCTAATTAACAGTCCAACTATCACTGAACAGTTACAGAAAAATCCTCACACGGGACAGCACTTAATAGTTAATAGTTAACAATATGCTAATTTGGAGCACTAAAATGGAGCAGAAATGCAGAATAGAAAATTTTCACTGCTGGGACAGCACTGTAGCAGCATTAACAGGCTGCAAATCTTATCTGAAAATGGCCAACCGAGCACGGGGCATGATTGCACTTGAACCTAAACAATATATAAATCATAAGTTAGAATTTAATTTTTGGATGATAATAAAACAAAACTACATTTCTCACATTCACCCAATCCTCAGATTCAAGAGGACCTGCACTACTACCATCTTCAATAGAATATTGATAAACAGAAAATCCATCATCAAAAAGATGAAACTTGTCAAAGGCATTTTCAAAGTTTTGTGCCATCTATACAAATAGAGATAGTATAAGATTGTGTGATTCTAAGGCACCAACAGATCTAGTATATGAGTCAGTATACATATCACTATAACACATTGGCTTGGCTTAATATGAGCCTAAATAATGCGTGAAATTAGTTTGATGCAGACTCTTTAATTTTGTTTCTACTCGAAGTTAAAGTACTTAATAATTGTAAAGGCTCGTGTATTCAGTCTGTGTTTGGACTTTGGCACAGTACCATATCAATTATCACCAATTTTTTTACTTATGGCTTATAGTTATAGGTTTGAAAGTTCAGAGAGAAATGTTGATTTGTATCTAATCTTTTAGTAATTCAAATCCACTGATTGTGCAATTTAAAACAGAAATTAAAAAATATGCGTCTGAACTCAAAAAGTTCAAAAACTTAAAAATAAAAGTTCAAAACTAATTCAATATAAAACTCAAGAAGTCGGGTACTTAGAGTTAGAGTGAACCACA